TTCTCTTCAAGTTTTAGTCATGTTGTTTCTTTTGTTTGGAGTAACATCTTGGTTCCTGCTTCAATTCTGGGGCCAAAAAAAAAAAAAAAAAAAAGGCAATTGAGTAAAGATTTGACCAGCATTTCTTCATTTCTTAATAGTCTTTAGCATTCTCCTTTTCCTTTTATGTGTTACTTTTAAGAAGTAAATGAAGCTCACTTGTGCAGTAGTGGTACTAATGTGGGAATAACCAATGACTCTAATTGACATTGATATCAGGTTTAGGAACCTGAAGCTAGAAGGGTCACAAAGCTTATGGGGAGAGCCTAATACCAGTTTTTCTTCTAAATAGTTATAGTATTAAACTGACTCCTAATGACTATTGTTATATCCATAGATTAATGCATCTGTCAGCTCTCACCAGAGAAGTTTCCTTACACAGCAGATAGTGATTAACATAGAGACCCACAACTGGCCAATATGCAGAGAAAAGGAGACTGCAGAGTACTTATCCCTGAATAGGACACCTTTATCCAATTTCTGCCTCCCAAGGCTCAGGAATCCTTGCAGAAGAGGGAGCGGAAAGATTCTAAGAGCCAGAGGAGTAGACCACAAGGAAACAGAATTTTCCATACATCTGGTTAGTTACTCATATGAACTCACAGCAGTGGTGAGAACATGCACAAGACCCATGCAAGCTCAAACCAGACAGAATCCTAGCATAGACATGGGGAAGTTGGTAAGAAACCTGAACCCTACCTAAGGAACTGTTGGTAACAGATGGCTGCTAGGAGGAGCAGAGACAGTCTTTCAAGAATTGGACTCTTGGTAGGTAAACCAGGCTCCAGCGGATAGACCCACACTGAAGGACATTTGGGGACACAAATTAGACTGTGTAGGCCTTATTTTATATATTAGACTATATTAAATTGGGCAATAAGTAGAGGTGTAGATGGGGAAGGAACCTAAATACCATCTAAATACCATATGAAACAAAAATTTATTAAAAAACAATACAAGTTGGTTTTTGAAAAAACATAAAAAGGAAGATAGGAAGTTGGAGTAGGGAGCTAAGGTGGATCTGGGAGGAGTTAGGAGTAGTAGGGATGAAAATGATCAGAATGCATTGTCAGAAACTCTCCAAGAATAAAAATACTCTAAAAAATAAAAATAATAAGAATCAAAAGTTAATGATGGTAAGATGGTTAGTAAAATGCCACATATAAACACATGCAAATCATGTAGCTGGTTTCTCAGCCAAAGACACTCAGAATTTACTTCTGATGCTTAATTTATTTTTCTTTGTAGTTTTTAAAAACTGTTTTCTTCATATTTTAACTTGTTTAAAGTTGGTAAACTGGTATGTTGTGTAGTAAACTATATTTAGAAATATTGTAATTAATCACTTAAAATTGTGGTTTACAAGGAAAGGTCTCAGTGAATTGTTTTAGCAAAATATAAGAATCTTTAAAGGGTAAGCTAACATGTTTCAGAATATCTTGTTAGAATGTCATTCTAAGAGTTATCTTTCTATTTTGAATTCCACTAATGTTTGGGTTTTAGTAAACTTTAAGTTGTATTAAGATTCTGCTGAGCATGGTGACACCAGCCTTTAATCCCAGCACCTTTAATCCAGGGAGGCAGAGGCAGATCTCTGAGATTGGGACAAGCCTGGGCTACATAGCAAGTCCAGGCCAGCTGTGGTTATAGAGAGATTCTGTGTTAAAAAAGATCAGAAAGAGAAAGAGAGAGAGAGAGAGAGAGAGAGAGAGAGAGAGATTGTATATTATAGCTTTGAAAATATGGACTGTGTTTATTATGAGTCATATATTGATGTCCACTGTAAGTTTATCATTTTTAAAAATAATTTCTAGACCTGTTTTCATGAATATGTTAAAATGAGATGATTTGGAGCCATAATTTAATATTAGTTACCAATTTGATTATTTATTTAATAAAACATGTAAAAAAAGTTCCAGGGCTTAGATTGTTAATATTTATGTAAATTTTATCCTATAGTAATGGTTTCATTGGAAGTAGATCTTAAAAATAAGCTTTTTGTTTTTGACTTTTTGAGATAGGGTCTTACTGTGTACCTCTGGCTGACCTGGAACTCACTGTGTAGACCAGGCTGGCCTCAAACTCATAGAGAGCTGCCTGTCTCTACCTCCCAGTGCTGGTATTAAAGGTATGTACTACCACACCCAGCTAAAAATAAGCTATTTTAAAATCTCCTCCCTTCATAATTTGAGGTGAAATAAGCAGATGACAGAAGTCCTATTTAAAGGCAATGCTATTTTATCTGAGACCTGAAAGGCGAATACAGTTTATCAAAATTCAGTGTGAACAAGGATTTTGGGGTGGAAGGTAGATTGCCTTCTCTCTTTTTTAATATTTTATTTATTATTTTTATTTTATGTGTCTGAGTGTATTGCCTGCATGTGTATAAGTGCACCCATGTTGCACAATGCCCATGGAAGTTGGAAGGGCAGTCAGATCCCTGGAACTGGAGTTATGGATGGTTGTTTGCCACCATGTGGGTGCTGGGAACCAAATCTGGGTCCTCTGCAAGAGCAGACAGTGCTCTTAACCTCTGAGCCTTCTCTCCAGTCCCATAGGTTGCATTCTTATAATTAAGGTTCAGTCATTCACAGGATACTCAAGTAAAGGGTAACAAATAGGGTATAAGAGAGTTTGTTATAGTGCAAGAAGAATATTGAAAATAAGCCAGGAAATAGAATTAGTTTGGGAACTATTTCATTTAATTTTTAAAAAATTTTATGTGTGTCTTGCCTACATGTATGTAACTGTACCACATTTTTGCCTGGTGCTTGGAGAGGCCAGAAGAGGGTGTTGGATTCCCTGGAACTGGAATTAAGGACTGGTGTTAGCTGCCATGTGGGTGCTGGGAACTGAACTTGGGTCCTCTGAAAGAGCAGTAAATGCTCTTAACCATTGAAACATCTCTCTAGCCCCCCCATTTCATTTTAAAAATATATTTTTACACATTTAGAAGGTATAGCTCATGAGTAGAGCATATGACTGCATATTCCTATGCATTTAATAAGTCAAGCTTTATACATTTCATACATATTTCTCCTACACATGATTATTCTTTTCCTCTTTGACCATTGTTTTAGGGCATTGTATTGAACTTTTTTCAGTGCTTCAACATTACTTGGAGTAGAACTTTGTGCAAATATTGAGCATCTTCAATGTTCTAAAAAAATATGTGCCATGATAAGTAAAGGACAGGGTGTTAGAAAAACTTGTGGGCAAAAGCACCCAGTGCTCTTTGGGGTGGAGGACCAGGTGAGAGAGGACCAGGTGAGAGAGGACCAGGTGAGAGAGGGAAGCAGTGTTTAAGCTAACACCTGAAAAGTGAACATGATTTATTTAGATTGACTGGAAACAGGGATGTTGAAATAGAGCACAGAGCATGTGCCAGATAAAGGGGTAAACATATTTAAATGTGTATTAAAACAGCTATGAAAAGGACAGCCATTAAAGAAGCTATCAGCTACAGAATTATTACCATCATTATGCTACTATGCAAAGCAGTTGACATGTCTTGACAGCTCTAACTTCTATGATAGCCATATAAGAGAGCTATTCTCCTACTTTCTTTGACTAACTATAACTGGTTTTTTGAACAACATGATCTCCAGCACTCTCCTTTTATCCCCATAATCTATGAATTTTAGAACTTTGATATTATCTAATTTTGGTGTCAGTGAGCCAGAAATAACTTGTCTGCATACTTCAGTAAAATTACAAAAATTACTACGGCAATTTATGGCTCAAAGCATGCTGTATATAAATAATCATATCCATGACAATTAAAATTAACTTAAAATTTCCAGGTTCTAAGACATAAATAGAATAGGAAAGAAGGCTATCAGTACCATACTGTGATAAAAAGAGTATGAAACCTCAAGATTATGGCACACTCTAAAAGATAACTGGTTTAGATTATTTAAAAAGTTAATATCACATAGCTGGAAGGGCCAGGGAAAGACTCTACATTAACCTATAGCACTATTGAATGTAATGTAGTACATGAATGTTGAATGGATCCTAGATCCAGAAAAAAAAATTGTCATTTTTGGGGAAAATTGGAAATTTTTGGATATGGACTAAATGTTAGACAATATGAAGGTTTATCATTAATTTTCTAGATATAATAATGGTATTGTAGAATGCAGAAGGCCTTTGTTCTTAGAATACATAGCTAACATATTTAGGGGTGAAATGTCATGCTTGGAAAAATTACAATAATAGACCTGCAGATTTAATTAGAGTTAAAAGGATCAAACACTTATAAAATGCCTAACTTTAGTGTACCTTTTTGTTACTTGCTACTTTTTCACTGAATTTTTGTTGCCCTGTGATTTGCTGATATTTCTCCCATCTTCATTTCTATCTTCATCTTCATTTTCATCTGTTTGCTCTTTTGAGGACTGAGACTTTCTATTTGTCACTGCTTGTGTTAGTCGCCTTTCCATTACTGTAACAAAATACCTCAGACACTTAACTTACAAAGACAAAAGGTTTGTTTTTGGTTCATGATTTCAGATGCTTAAGTCTATGACTGTCAGAGTCAAGGACTTCAGGCCTCTGCTAGGTGTACTTGACTATGAAACTGTTTAACTCTTGACCAGGAAAAGAAAGAAAGAAAGAAGCCAGGACCCCAGCATGCCCTCCAGGGCATGTTCCCAGCACCTTAAAGGCCTTATCACTAGGCCCCAGTTCTCAGGTTCCTGTGTCTCAATTGTACCATGCTGAGGACAAGTCTTCAATGCATGGCCTGGGGAGGCTGGCGGTATTGCTGATCTCACAGCACTCTGGATAGTGCTGACATATGGGGGCAGCAGTCCATGCTTGATGAGTGAACTAATGAATGAAATAACCAGTCTCAACCAGCTTTGCCATTTCCATGCAAAACATAGAAACTTTAGTGTTGTTTGATTAGTGTAGGCATTGTTGGTGAGAAGCAATGATGTATTATCCTTTTGTTTCAGGGGAGTTGGGAAAAAAGAATTTTGAAGAGTTTAAATAGTATGTGTACGGAACTGAGTATCCCTTTGGCGCGAAAGGTACAGTTAGCATTTTTCTGCTGAATTTTTTTATTGTGAATAAACTACTGAAAAGTATCACAGATTTGTAGACTTGTTAGGCATATTGTTCTTCATTTCCTGGCATGTCAGCATGTTCTGAGTAACATGTAAATGCCTATTATTCAGGTATATTTTATATGTATATTTACTGTGTATGCTTTAATGATTATAATAACCCTTTTTGAGAACAAAACAGAATGTACTTATATTTTTGTACATTCCATCTGAGCACTGTTTCTTGAAGTTCGGGATTCCTATGATCTTATAATTGGCCATACGGTAACATCTTTAGTGTTAATATAAGGAATGAGAAGAATAATCTGTCATCTCAGTAGACCTGAAATTCTATTTAGAATAAGTATCTGATGTTTATCTGCCACTCTGGGCTTTGATGGTGGGAGAGCAGAAATGAGATGGGTCATGGAGTCTATCCTGGATATTGCATAGTGCTCACAAGTAAGAGAACTCAACTTTCCCTTAACTTTGTTTCCCTGCTGGCTTATTATTCCTGTGGTTGACTGGAGAGAGTGATGCTTTTGATGATAGGCAAGGAGAAGCCTCTGAAGGCAACAGCAGGATGGTGTGAAGAGAAAAGAGTGAGTTTAGGAGAAATACTATGTGAATGTGTAGTGTATGTGATACTGTCCTTCACCCAGAAAGTGATGAAGGTGATATTGCTGACTCGGACTGCCTTGGCCACACCCCTTTTCAATGTGCACTTGCTGGACGGGGTAAGAGATGCAGTGTGTGGCTGAGGAGCAGTTCTTTGTGAGGTTGACTGGCCAGTACAGATATTTACCTTCTTTTCCCAGACTCATTAGCACCATATTGTAAGTAAGCCGTTCAGACTAGATGTACTCGTTAAAAGTTAATTGTAATTACAAAAGGGTTTTCCATACTCAATGAATTTTTCCCTTATGTTATGGTAGCTTGTTTAAACTTTTAAATAAGTTACTGATTCTTGCTTTTAAGCTTCTTTGATAAACTTCAAAAGTGAAACTAGTTTTAAATTACCTTTTTTAGAGACCAGTTGGTGAACAGAAAGAACTTCTCAATAAATGGAATGAAATGGGAACTGATGAACCAGGTAGGCAAAGAACTTTCTGCAAAATTTAGTAATTTGATCCGAAATAGCATAGTAATTTGTTTGGAAAATGCCAACTCCACATTTCCACAAATGTTCTGTCATCTGATTTGTTTGTTTAAATTTCTGTTTTGCAGATTAAGAACTCTTAACTTTGGGCTGCGTTCTCCATTGTCTTGAGAATATTAGATCATGTGCCATTTTTTCAAGCAGCATCTGAAAATATTCTTATAAAAGTAAATAAAACTCATTCAATGGCTTCCTGACACTTTTCAGTAGAGGCAGAGATTCTGTAAGCTTACTCATGCTGAGATGCTAAGAAGAGAATGGCTAATGAAAAATGTTTCAAGGGTTTAAAGTAATTTTTAAAGATTTTTTATTTTTACTTTATGTTTGCTTATTTGTGTTTTGCTTACATGTGTGTATGTTCACCAGGTATGTGCATAGTACCTTCAGAGCCAGAAGAGGGCATTAGGTCCCTTGGAACTGAAATTACTCATGGTTGTGAGCCACCATGTTGGTGCTGGGAGCCAAACCTGGGTCCTGTGTGAGAACAGCTGGTGCTCTTAAGGCTGAACCACCTCTCCAGCCCCCATGTTTTTTTGTTTTTTTAAAATATATATATATATGTATATATTTATCTTTTTCTTTTTCTTTTTCTTTGAGACAGGGTCTCCCTGTAGCTCCAGGTGTCCTGGAACTCACTATGTAGACCAGGCTGGCGGTGAACTCACAGAGATCTGCCTGCCTCTGCCTCATAAGCATTGGGAATAAAGGCATGCACCACCACACCTGGCCCCATTTAAGATAATTTTAAATTTTATTTTGGTTCATTATAATTTAAAGCTAGTTCTATAAATAGATGAGTAATAACTGTATATTATAGATGCCTATATTTGTATAGAGACATGTCCGTAGCTATTCTTCTCCTCTCCCTTCCCTCACCACTGCTAAAATTATAGTCTGGAAGGCTGGAGAGATGGCCTAGTGGTTCAGAGCACTTGCAGAGGACCTGGGTTCTGTTCCTAACACCCACATGGCAGCTAACAGCCATCTGTAACTCCGGTTCCAGGGGATCTGATGCCCTCTTCTGACCTTTGCCAGCACTGCATGACATGGGTGCACTTAGGTACATACAGGCAAAACACTCGTATGCATAAAAATAAGAATAATTTTTTGAAAAATATAGAGTCTGGAGACTAGATAAGCAATGTGTGTAATAGAGCAAACAGGGCACAACTGAAACCCCAAAAGGTGAACAGTTTCACCCTGCCAGAGGAGTTCACTGAATGCACCATTCGTACTCTAAAGACTGAAAATTCTCCTCTTGAACCTACAAAGAAATTCTTAATATCACCTATAGTATGTCATTTAGATTGTCAGGAGGAAAAATTATCTTCATCTATGTGTTCCTAATATTTAACACAATGTATGACAAATAATTGATACTCATATATTTGAATTGATCAATGTCTATAGAAATGTGAGACATTTTCATTTATTGATGGCTTCATATATTACCTGAAATTTTGTTTTAATCTTAACTCATTCCAGATTTAAGTCTTTTTCGACCTGTTTATGCACCTAAGGACTTTCTTGAGGTATGTTCTATTAGATAATTATTTAAACATCAATGGAGGAATAATGGGAGGAAGAGGATGTTGTAACTGTGTCTGGGTGGAGAGATTGCTGTGTTAAGGCCTCAGAACCACTGAAGCAGTGAAATGACATAGGTTGGTGTTTGGAATTTTTTCTTGGGAAACATCAGAACATGGAAAGATCAGAGGCAGCACATCAATCATAAAGACTTTTTGATTAAAATATAGTGATTATACAGCCAGTGCAATGGCTTAGCAGGTAAAGGCACCTGAGTTCAATCTCCAGAACCTACAGGGTAGAAAGAGAGCACTTAGTCCTTCAAATTGACCCTCAATCACCACATGCATAATGCGGCACTTGCACACACAGCTATAAATATAATTAAAAAATTACTGAAAAATAGTGAATATAAATCATGTGGCCTGGTGCTTGGCACACAAAAATGCTCATCAAATCTGCCATTTTTTTAATTTATTTTTTTTTCAATTTTTTGAAATTTAATAACCACATGATTAGAAGAAGCATTTCATTACACCTTTACCATATTCAGTAACACATTCCAGAGCAAGGATACATCTCTTTCAAAGGTAGCTGTAAATTTTTAGGTTCACAGTTGAATTACTAGTCACAATCAGTTACATTTGGATCCTTAGTACTTGAGTATGGATATAAAGTCATCAGGTAGATTTAAGTGGTAATGTTTATCACCTCTACTACTTAACATGAAGGAAATTAAAATTTTTTTAATAACTATGTGATTAGAAGAAGCATTTCATTACAGCTTTAACATATTCAGTAACACACTTCAGAGCAAGAGTACATCTCTTTCAGAAGTGGCTGTAAGTTTCTAAGTTCACAGTTGAATTAATACAGTTATACAGTGTTGAACTCAGTATAAGCCCTGCATTACAAGATGTAAAATTGAATGAGTTTTTAACCTTTAAAAAAGATCTCCATTTCATTTTAGAATATATTGTTCCCTGCAGAAAGACTCATTGTTTTTGCTACTAACACTGAGATGTTGGTGCATGCATCTGTAATCTGTGTGTATCTGATTATTACTAGTCATAATCGGTTGCACTTGGGTCCTTGGTGACTGTGTATGTCTATAATGTCATTGGGTAGATTTCAATGGTAATGCTTATCACCTCTACTAATTAACATGATGTAAATTTCCATGCTTCCTCCTCAAATATAATACATTTAAAAAATTTTGATTTTGTGTGTGTGTGTGTGTGTGTGTGTATCACACAAAACATCCCAAACTATCTTATTCAATTATACACCCACTTCCCAGATGGCACTCTCCCATAGCCCCCTTCCCCTCACTAGAGCCCTCATATTCTGATGTCCCTGCTGCTGTCTGCTGTGTTGTCGGCACCCCCAGCCATTCCCCACTACTTATCCATCTGGCGAATCTAGTCAGCCTGTCTAGAGGTTTTTGTTTTAGGAGGGTCAGCTGCTTCTCATCTAGCAGCAATCAGTTGTCATTATTCCTTTAGATAAGATTGGGGTCTGCTATTCCTTTTCCCAGTTCTATGCTGGATTACTATCTGGGAGTCCCTTTGGCCACCATGGCCAACAACTTGAAAGAAGGTATCTCCTATCTGGCATTGTTGCTTGTTATGTAGCCTTTAGCTATACATATGGACACTTAAGAAATTATATTGGCCCCTTTAGTCTTTGGTTACACTTTCCTTTTGGGAGTTTAAGGCCATACAGTTGGCCCAGATAAACCAATTTGTTTTTACTCTTAAGGTCATTTGAGGATCTGTTCCTCAGGGGTCACATGGTCTTGGAAGGAGCCCCTGGCTCCTTTCCTTCACCAGTTCCACCTCTGTGAAGATGAGTCAAAGGCCCTGCTTGACCATAGCTGGCTTCGCTTGGAAGTATGGAGGAAATAATTTCTCTGTGTTGACCCTCCTCTTTGTAGACTGGACACTGGTTCAAGTCCATCTTGTGGGGTCTGCTCAGCCTCCTTGATCAAGAGGACAGGTGACCCACCACAATTACAGGACAGTTTGAGAGATGCTCATAGTCCCCTGGAACTAGTCGACCTAGGAGGGCAAGGAGCAAAAACTGTCTTTTATGTCCCTCTGACCAAATTAGTATAGGCCTCAGAGTATGTCTGTTAAACATCCAAGAAGTTTAGTTCCACCAGTCTGGTACTTTTAGTACTGTGTGTCATGTAGATGAATATTGGGAAAAGACCAATTGTTCTAGATAAACCTTACCTAGACATATATTTCTTGATCTGGTATGTATAACTTGTCAGTAGGTTGTTGGACTAATATGGTTCCCTCTGGTTTTTAAAACTAGCTAGCCATTATTTATCTCTTGCATTGTTTCACCCCTCCATCGTGGTTTCACCAATTAAGGTGCCCCCATTTCCCCCCTTTCTCCCTTAATAATACCCTTCTCCTACGATCCTACCTCTCTTGAGCTCCTTCTTTCCCTTTATCCCCTAGGTTCCTTGTATACCCTTCCCTCCCTCCTCCCTTAAACTATGCCAATTTTAATCCATATCTCCCTTATTAAGGCCTGCTTCCTACTGTTCTTCTCTTTCAGGTTCTTTCTTTTCCTTTACCTCCCTGTTTCCTTTCCACTATCCTGGTTCCTGTAGTTATGTTTGGATGCATACTCACTTATCAGGGTTTGTTTCTAGGATCTACATATGAGGGAGAATATATGTTGATTTTTTTTCCTGAGTCTGTGCTACTTTACTTAGTATAACAGTTTCTAGTTCCATCCATTTACCTGCAAATTTCATGATTTCATCTTTCTCTACTGCTGAGTAAAACTCCATCGTATAAATGAACCACATTTTCATTATCCACTCGTCAATTGAGGGATACTTAGGTTGCTTCCATCTCTTAGCTATTGTGAAAAGAGCAGCAACAAACATGGATGTTCAAGTATCTCTGCAATAGGATGAGTTCTTTGGGTATATGCCAAGGAGTGGTATAACTGGGTCAAATGGTAGGTTCATTTGTAGTTTTTTAATAGTTCTCCACACTGCTTTCCATAGGGTTTGAACAAGTTTGCCATCCATCTCACCAGCAGTGGATGAGTGTTCCCCTTTCTCCACATTCTCTCCAACATTTGTTGAACTTAGCCAGTCTGACTGGGGTAAGATGAAATCTGAAAGTAGTTTTAATTTGCATTTCCCTGATTATTAGTGATATTGAACATCTTTTAATATGCTTCATAGCCATCTTTACTTCTTCTTTTGAGAACTCTCTGTTCAGTTCCTTAGCCCATCTTTTAACTGAGTTATTTCTTGTCTTGATTTTCTGTTCTTTGAGTTTGTTCTATATTATGGATATTAAAACTCTGTCAGATGTGTTGCTGGTGAAGATTTTCTTCCATTCTGTGAGTTTTCTCTTCACTTCCCTGGTTGCCTCCTTTGATGCTTTTTAGTTTAAAGAGGTCCCATTTGTTGATTCTTTCCCTTGTTTCCTGAGCAGTTGATGTCCGGTTTAGAAAATCCTTTCCTACACTTATATCTTATAGGTTTTTGCCAATGTTTTCTTCTAACAGTTTCAGAGTTTCAGGTTTACATTGATCCATTTGGAATTGACTTTAGTGAAAGGTGAAAGATAGGGGTTTAGTTTCATTCTTCTACAGATGGAGATACAGTTTTGCCACCACCATTTGCTGAACATGCTATCTTTCCTCCAGTGAATATTCTTAGCCCCTTTGTCAAATATCAGGGGCTGAAATTGCATGTACTCATATTTGGTTCTTCAATTTTGTTCCCTTGATCTATGGGTCTATATTTGTGCCAGTACCATGTTGTTTTTATGACTATAGCTCTGTAATACAGTTTAAAATCTGGTATAGTAATTCCCCCCGGCATTGCTCTTAGTGCTCAGGGTTGCTTTGGCTATCCAAGGTCTTTTGTTCTTCCATCTGAATCTTAGGATGTTTTTTTCCAATTTTGTAAAAAATGTCATGGGGATTTTGATTGGCATTGGATTGAATGTATAAATGGCTTTTGGTAGGACCGTCATTTTCACAATATTAATTCTTCCAATCCATGATCATGGGAGGTCCTTCCATCTTCTGATGTCTTCCTCAATCTCTTTCTTTAAAGATTTAAAATTTTCATTGTAGAGCTCTTTAATGTCTTTGGTAAGGTTTATTCTGAGGTATTTTATTCTTTTTGCAGCTATTGTGAAGGGGTGTGTTTCCATGTACTCTTTCTCTGATTGCTCATTATTGGTATATAGAAAGGCTACAGACTTTTGTAGGTTAATTTTGTAACCTGCCACTTTAGTGAATGTGTTAACAATTTTAGGAGTTTTCTGGTGGAATTTTTGGCATCTCTTAGATATAATATAATATCATCTGCAAAAGGGATAATTTGAGCTCTTCTTTTCCAATTATTACTCCTTTAATTTCCTGCTCTTGTCTTATTGCTCTTGCAAGAGTTTCTAATGAGATGATCATGTGGTTCTTGTCTTTGACCCCCTTTATATGATTTATGACGTTTATTGACTTACATATATTGAACCATCCCTGCATCTCTGGGATAAAGCTGACTTGATCATGGTGGATGATCTTTTTGATATGTTTGTATGCCACTTGCAAGTATCTTGTTCAGAATTTTTTCATCTCTGTTCATTAAGGATATAGGTCTATAGTTTTCTTTTTTGGTTGTATCTTTACAAGGCTTTGGTATGAGAGTGATACTGGTTTCATAGAAGGAATTTTGGAGTTCTCCCTCCATTTCTATCTTTTTGAATAATTTGAGCAGTATTGGTT